CACCATTGGGATCCGCCTTCGACAGGTTCGAGCGAAAGACCTCTGTCCTGAGCTCCTTCGTCCTGATGGCGAGGCAACAAGCGACCCAACAGAGATGCTCGCCACTGCCCGTGACTTTTACGAGGCCCTATATACCGCAAAAGGGTCTTTGGACCGGGACCAGGCCACCATCCTTGCCAGCATGGGCAAGAAACTGACAATGGCCCAGCGCCACCATCTCGAGCGACCCTACAACGCAGACGAGCTCCTGGAGGCGCTTGGCAAGTGTGACAAGTCCTCCTCGCCGGGCGCCGATGGCCTGCCGTTCGACTTTTACGTCGCCACATGGCAAGTCACTGGCCCAATCCTCATCGAGGTACTCAATTCTCTTGCGGATCGCGACCCGCTCACGTTGCCACCGACCGAGTCGCACGTCCACTTGGTGCACAAGAAAGGTGACGACCGCGAGCTCAGCAACAAGCGGCCTTTGGCGCTTATCAACACCGACGAACGCCTCTTCAGCCAAGCCCACAGCCGGCGCCTGCTTCCAGTCCTCGACGTTATCATCGGTCAGGCTCAAACAGGCTTTATACCAAAGCGCTGGATCGGTCACAACATTGAGGCCATGCAATGCGCAATCGAAGCGACTCAAGAAGAGTTTGAAGACGGACTGGTGGCAGTCTTGGACTTTGAGAAGGCTTACGATCGCATCTCGCACGAGTATCTTGAGGCTGTGCTGCGTCACACTGGCTTCGGTGCGCGCACCGTCCGCTGGTACCAAGCGACTTACAGGCAGTCCTTTGGCCGCATCTTTCTGAATGGCTGGCTCAGTTCTCGCTTTGCCGTCAACTCTGGTGTGCGTCAAGGAGACCCTCTGGCACCGTCACTTTTCCTTCTGGCGATTGAAGGACTGGCCTGCCGAATTCGACAGACGGTGCGCGGACGTCAGAGCAAGGAGCAGGAGCAGTATTACTTCAGCCCTGCGCGCCCAGTCAACTTTCGCCCGCGCTCGGATCTTCACTTCCGAGAACTGCTCTTTGCCGACGATGTCGCGTGTGGCTTGGCCGACTGGCGCGATGCCGACGCGTTCATACATGCCGTCGACGTCTACTGCCGAGCGAGCGGCAGCCGGCTCAGCGAAGAAAAGTCTTTCTTCTACCCGCTTGGACCCAAGTTCCGCGACCCAGCGCTGCGAGGAAGACAAGCGAGGCCAGCGAGCCGCTTTCCTTCGAACCCTTTCGGTACCTGGGAATCTATGTTGGCGGGCGAGACGCCGCTCATCAAGCGGAGGTGGACCGCGAACAGTGGCAATCCATCACAACCAAGACAGTCCATCGAATGCGTCAGATTGTGATGAGCGACCTCCCTGTGGCAACGAGATGCGCAATCATCAACATCTACTGCTACAGCAAGATCGTCTACTACGACCGCTTTGTTCCAGCTCCTCGAGCAACACTCGAGTTCATCGCTGCCAATGCTCGCCTAGCCATCTGGAGCGGTAGGCAAGCCAAAGTGTCGGGCGAACGGCTCATGACGCCTGCCGAGCACGGAGGTTTTGGGCTGTTTAACCTGCACTTGCTCCTACGTGGACCTCGAGCTCTGTGGGTCTACGACTTGCTCTCACGCGAGGGTCTGGTGCATCAGCACTTTCGCGCCCTTCGCCACCGACTCAGACGACCGACACCGGAGGAGCTCAATTACCGTCGTGTCCAAGTCAAACACGGGTTCAATCGCGCTGCCGATGTTGATCTTCGGTGGTTCATGCTCTTTTGCCACCCGTCCGCTCGCATCGCCGCTTTCACAGTGCTCGCCTATCGCCGAGACCGCCTCCCGGCAAGGTGGCTAACCTACAGAGCCGCGTGGGAGGAAATGACAGTGCTGCAGGCGCCACTCAGCGGCAGTCCTCAAGCTTGGTACCGGACTTGCTTTGCAGCCGGTGAACGTCTCGACGCTGGTGTTCCCTTCGAGTGGTTCCTTCGCCCGAGTCAAGGCGGCGCGGTCAATCGCGGGCAGCTTGAACACGTCTCGAAGCAGCTTCACTACGCCACATACCCGCCAATCGTACCTGCCGGCTGGCACGCTCGCTACGCAGAGTGGCAACCTCAAGCTTGGAAGAACTGCTGGAAGTTTCTGCGCTGGCTTCGTCGCATGTTTCCTGACGACGAAGACTCGGCGCATCTGATCAGCCTCTTCGCAACTCAAGTCGGCAACCGCTTGGCCAGTCCAACCTCGCCCTACGTCAACAACCAGTCGAGAGAGTGCATCCTCTGTCACGGCAACTCGGTCGAGACTTTTCGCCACTTGCTTACGCAATGTCCCGTCTCTCGAGCGATTTGGCGCTTCGCTTCAAGTACTCGCCACCCAGGTCGCTTCGCTCTCGCCTGCATTCGTCCGACAGGGGCTGGCGGTCGCCTCCTCGCCGCCACTCGAGTCCTGTTCGTCCACGCAATCTATCGACTCGCGCGTCGTCGTCGATACGCTCGCCTGCCTCTCTTCGAGCCAGTCTCTGACAATCAAATTCGCGAAATTGGCTTGCAGATTGCCGCAAGAATCTCACAACGCTTCCGCCGCCGACTGTGGTAGAAGCCACATCTCTTCCTTTTTCCAACTTACTAGGGTTTTAGTGGGTAGGCAGCCACCTAGGGCTGGAGTCCCACACTGTCTGTTGCTCTGCTCTTTTGACATAGCTTTCATTCGTGCGTAACTTGCATTCTTCCCGTATCAAGCACCCCTCTGTTAGTCCGGTAGAACTTTGATTTTGCCCGCCAACTTTTGTTGAAACAGAGAAGTTAAGATACAAAAAAAATTACCCTGATTGGAGTCCCACAGTGTTGGATAGTGCTCTGCATATTCCTTCCTGCGTTACTGCATTTTTGGCCCCGTCTCTTGTTTAAAAAAAAACTTTCTCCGCTTCTAGATTAGTTTGACATCGCGATAGTCTTGCAATCTCAGAGCACGTAGATACAAAAAAAAAATGTTTTGGGCGAGCGATGCCCGTGAATCGCACTTACGCGCAAGCGGCCCATACAGCCATACGACTGCCTCCTGACAAGGCGCGCCAAGCTGGAGTTCCCCGGTGAGCAAGGGCGGCTTCGGACTTCACGATCTGAATGCACGGCTGCTCCCAGGGCGAGCACGCTGGATCTATGAGCTTCTCCACGCATCTGCTCGACAGCATCACCATTTGCGCTGGGTCCGGACCTTGACGGCGTCTGTCGCGGTGAGACACGCCCACATCGTCCTCTTCCAGGGCTTTCCGGGCCTGGTGCTCCGCCTGCAGCGACAATTAAGGTGGTTCTTCGCCTTCCTGCCGCTTTCTGTTCGCGAGCACTGGCAGTCTTTCCCGCAGGTTGGACAGTTTTGCGCTCTCCTCAACTCATACTTACCGAGCCGATGGCAAGTTTATGCCACTTCGTGGCTGCACTACGTCATGCCTGGTCCGGAGCTGGCAACAGACGATCAAATCACGGCTTGGATAGCGCCAGCAGGCCAGAACAACGCAAGGGCAATGAGGAGGTTTTCTCTTGACCTCTCCTTGCTCCGTTGTTTCGATGGGCGGCTTTTTCATGACATCGGAACATTCAAGCTCATGACTCAGGTGATCAGCGAGCACACATACAGAACAGTGATGACTCCAAAGTGGCGCAGGGATCTCGATCAAGGAGACAACGAGGACCTATGGCTTCAGTGGTATGCGACCCTCAAACGCCTTCGCAGACGCATTCCCGATGCGGTCAACACGGCACACTCGCTGGCCACGCACAATCTCCGAGTTGGCAAGCACATTGGTGGACGCCGTTACGCCACCAACGCCCCAAACAATGTCACCAAAAGATGCATCCTCTGCAGGCGCCAGCTCGAAACGCTCGAACACGTCTTTGGCGAGTGCCGCAGCGCCAAGCTCCTCTGGCGAGGGACTTTCGGCCCCCACATTCCTTATCCATCGCTCGAGTGGCTTGTCCGACCGCCTGTGCACCCCGACAGTGCCAATCTCGCCGTGCCAACCATCCTCTTTGTTCATCACCTCTGGAGGCTTGTACGTGCTCGGCGACGGGCCCTGCAAGTGCTCGACGGTCCAGTGTCAGCTCCCGAGTTAGGACGCACGTCCGAAGCTATTCTCTACGATCTCTGAAAAACGAGGGCTCTTTGTTTTTAGTGGGTATACGACATTCGACATTTTGACTGCCGATCGGAGTCCCACACTGTTGAAGCTGAAGCCCCCAAGGCTTAGGAATCTTCTTCGTCCGTAATGGATTTTTGGTCTCCCCCCGTTCTGTCCTGTAGATGACCCAGCCATCAAATGCAATGGACAGTTTGTTTAGAAAAAAAAACCCCGCCAAAATCTAACAGAGGGGGCAAATACGGGAGAAATGCAAGTAAAGCACGAATGGAAGCTAGAGACTAGCTAACAGACAGTGTGGGACTCCAATCCTAGGTGATTGTCTACCCACTAAAACCCCGCCTTTTTTTTTTTTTTTTTTTTTTTTTTTTTTTATTTAATATGAGAGCGTTGAAGCTTCTGGAAGGTCTGACGCATCTTAACAGCAAATTGCATGCCGATCTGTTCCATTTTCCGGTCCGAGACGGGTTCGTATAGTAGCAAGCGTGCGAGGCGACGTTGGCGAGAGAGCGCATAGATGGCGTGGACGAAGAGGACACGGAGAGCTGCTGCTCGTCGTCCACCTGCGCCAGTAGGTCGAATGCAGATGAGGGCAAACCTGGAAGGGTGAGGCTGGGTCGACGCGACTTGCCAAATCCTGCGCGCCACTGGACAGTCAACGAGGAGGTGGCGAAAGGTCTCCAAGCTGTTGCCGTGGCATAAGATGCATTCTTTCGACCGATTGTTGACGAAGCGCGAGGTCGCGTCGTCCAAGCGGTGGCCAACTTGAGTGCTGAAGAGGCTGATGAGATGGGCCGAGTTCTCCTCGTCGGGAAAGAACCGTTTGATCAAACGAAGGCGAGCACGCATTTACAAAAACCGGTTTATAGATTACAATTGGCCATGTATCGCAACAGCTCAGGACGGCGTGGCACAGTGGCTACTGCGGTAGACTAGAATACAACCTATTTATCTACTCCTCTCTGAGGGCGCAGGTTCGAGTCCTGCCGCCGTCGATCTTTTTCTCACTCTGTCTTGTTAGAGGCGGGGCGGTTTCAAACGAAAGCCGAGGCTTTTCTTTTTTTCCAAGCTCAAGGACCACGTGACTGGACCCTCTGGCACTGACAGTGCCCGTGGGCGTGCTATCCCCTGTCGACAAAGGTGATGGACAAAGAAGACGGCAGGCACGGCAAGGTGGACTTATGGCGAGGTGGACATTGCCAGGCGGCACGGGCTGTCAGACAAGCCACAGGAGCGGCAAGTAGGGAACGTGAGGATCGAAAATGCCACGCCAGAGCAGCCTGGAGCTGCGGCACTCGCCACAGACGTGTTCGAGCGCTTCGCCGGAGGCGCCCACAGAGGATCACCTTTTACTGGCATTGTAAGGCGCATTGGTCGCGTAACGGCGTCCACCAATGTGCTTGCCAACTCGGAGATCGTGCGTGGCCAGCGAGTGTGCCGTGTTGACCGCATCGGGAATGCGTCTGCGAAGGCGTTTGAGGGTCGCATACCACTGTAGCCACAGGTCCTCGTCGTCTCCATCTTCGAGGTCCTTTCGCCACTTGAGCGTGCGTTGATGCCCCGGATTTTATGCAGCGCAAGTTCTTGGATTTCCTCGAACAAGTCGGGCGGCACCGGTTCAAAACGATTGTAGAAGACAATCTTCGAGTAGCAGTACGTATTGATGATGGCGCACTTGATCGCCAGCGGAAGGTCATAGATAGCAAGTCGCTGGATGCGGTTGCTGCACGGTCGAGAACACGCCGCCACTATGTGCGGTTGTCAGCATTGCGCCCCACAAGGACATCCAGATAACGAAAAGGCGCGGCGCTTGTGTAATGCGAAGCCACGGCTCATCGAGGTGAATCGCGGATGTGTCCCCAATAGCGTAGAGTAAGGACTTTGCTTCGTTTAGGGCACTACCACTTGCTCTTCGGTAGGCCTCAATGCAGCGCCAAAGACGTAGAGCATCGTCATGGTCCCTGAGGCGACAAGTCACATCGTCACAACAGAAGTTCACGAAGCCGCAAGGCCCTGACAGGAACTCGGTTGTCTGGCAGTCTTTGAGCAGGGGCCGCCCGTGCCCCCCTCGGTTAGATGGGCACGCCTCGATTTGGTCCTGCTACTTTGTGAGTCGATGGTCGTCCCAGCACCCGTTTTCGAATGAGTGCAGCGAGGGGTTCGATTGCCAGCGCAAAGAGGCTCGGTGTTAAGGGTTCGCCTTGTCGCACCCCAGAAATGAGTCCGAAGGGACTCGAAAGCCAGCCATTGATCAAGACGCGTGCGTTATGTCCGGCATAAGTGCAACGATACCATCGACGCGCTCGCGGTCCACACCCGAAGGTGGTGAAAACAGCGTCGAGATAGTCGTGGGACAAGCGGTCGTAGGCTTTCTGGAGGTCGAGGATAGCAACAAGGGCATCATCAGCGAGAGACTGGGTGAAATCGGCAGGACCTGTTGGCTCATCCATGGCCAATTGCATCGACGCTATGTTCTCGTCAATGTGGCGACCAGGGACGAATCCCGTCTGCGTCTTGTGAACGATGGAGGGCAATTGCGGTGCAAGGCGCCGGTTGTGTGCCTGGCTAAAGAGTATTTCATCAGTGTTGATGAGCGAGAGCGGTCGTTTGTTGGTCAAAAGGGTTGGGTCAGGCGCGTCCTTCTTCTGAAACAGATGGATATGCGACTCCGTGACCGGCATTGAGTCAATATCCTGCTCAGGAAGGGAGTTGAGCGCCGCCAGCAGGATTGGGCCCGTGACATCCCAAGTTGCGATGTAAAACTGAAATGGCAGGCCGTCAGGTCCTGGACTTGACAGCTTGTTGCATTGTTTCAGTGCTGCCCAAAGCTTGTTGATACTGTAGTCTTGCTCAAGCAAAGCAGCTAATCTGTCGGCCAATCGTTGCTTTTCACGAATCTCACGAAAGCCATCAAGTCGACTGTTGTAGTCGCTGTCTCGGTGTCGATAGAGATCTTGAAAGGAGTCTCTCGCGTGAATAAGGATGTCATGCGGCGACGTGAGCTCGCGCTCGCCATCCTTCATTTTTGTTTCTAAACAAACTGTCCATTGCATTTGATCGCTGGGTCATCTACAGGACAGAACGGGGGGAGTGGCGGAGTTCCGGATCGTGAAATTTTTCAATATGTCAATATATGTTATTTTGAATGAGGCATCCGCGCCCGGTTGATCTAGTCGGTTATGATGCAGACCTAATATGTTCGCATGCTTAGTCTGATGTCGGCGGTTCGATCCCGCCACTGGGCAGGTTATTTCTTTTTGGCAGACTGTTTTGGTGCTATGGCCTGCACAATCAAAGGCATGAATAATGGCGCTCGATGTTCATCTTTTCTTCAACATTCCTTATGCTTTTCAGGCGGGCGCTGTCCTGCCGACGAGATGAGCAAGCTCGGCAAACAAACTTATGCGTTACATTTGATCACGGAGTCATGCGATGCGATTTGGTCAAGGTGTGAGCTCACTGCGTTTTCACCATCACATGATATCTGAACCTGCTTGCAAGGGTGAAGCCGACCGATACCTTGCGCTCGCTCAAAGGAGTCCGTCGCCTTGCTTTGCGCAAATTGGCCGAATACATGAACGAGCACCAGTCCGACACCAAGAGGATGAAGCAATGATCCTCAACGCATACTCAAAAAGCGATCTGTGTTCTGCCAAAGTCTCTCCTAAAGTCGACAGCGTATGTTAGTGAGCGTGCGATTGATATTATTACATGACTCGACAAAAGGGACAACGCATTTGCGCACAAGAACAGAAAGAGTGTCCGTTGGCGAGCGCCAGCAAACTCGAAACATGAAGGACGTCGATGGGCATGCTCAGAGGCGAACGATAAAAACGAGACAAGGCTGGCTGAATGGGATGATGGCGGCGCCTAGAGCGTCTCAGGTGCCGAGTGACTCGTCTTGGGTACCTCTGTCATCTCGGCCTGAGCCTTGTCGTCTGCGTGTGATCCATCCGCCATCTCAACCTCTTCTGCGTGATCGCCCGTCTGTTGGCCGTGTTCCCGCTCGAGCTCTGCCATGCGAGCCTGAAGTGCCGCTTGTATCGACGGTAAATCTATTTCGTCCTCTTCGTCTTCATCTTCGTCGTTCGCGCCTGTTCTCCTACCCAGCATGCCAGCCATGCCACCAGGGCGCCCGGCTGCTCCCATGGCACCTCTTGGCGCATTTGATTGCGAGAATGGGTCGATCAAATCCTTGGGCGTCTCGTACGGCTTGCCAGCCTCTACTCTTTTCTTGACCCACTCGTACCACTCATCAATCGTTCGGCTGCCTTTGATTGCGACGATCATAGCCGTCATATTGTCGCAGCCGACGCCTCCCCAGTCTGAATCGGGCGCGAGACACCTGTCCATCAATTCTTCTGTGATTGTGTGCAGGGCCTTGCCTTGCGAGATAGATAGCCGCACAAAGTCGATCACCTGTTGCGACGACAAGACGTCCCAAATACCTATGCCATTTGACCTCTCGCATCAGTACGATGTGACGCGCAGTGAACATACTGGGCACTCACCGTCGCAAGCAATGACGATAAACTCGTCGTCGTCGTCGTGTTCATGGACGGTGATGTCAGGGTCTGCAGTTACAATCTGATGTTCGGGGTCCAAGTGTGTGCTTTGTTTGAATTCGAAATCACCCAAAGCACGTGACAAAGCCAGGTTGCCTTTGTGGTTTTGGAGTCAAGCGTCAGGTCAATCGCCGAGACATCCTCAAGAAGCTGGCTTACCGTTGACTCGGCCAAATTCTACAAAGCCTCCAGCTGCAACGATGCGTGCCGTCTCTGCCTTGTTTGTCGGTTTGTGGTCGAAAGAGAGGGGTTTTGCCTCGCCGCCCAATGATAACACTGCTCGCGAATCGCCTGCGTTTGCCTACCGTGAGGACAGCAAGTGTCAGTATGACGTCAACAACCGTCATATTCCTTGTCGGTAAGCGTACGCAGATTATGCGCAAATCGTCTGTGATTACTGTGGCGACGGCTGTGCAGCCGGACGGATCTCCTCGAAAGTCTGGGTCTGCGAGAGAAGGAAATTTGTAGGGTGTGAATTGGGCTGCAATGCCGTTTTCAGAATGTGCGAGCGCGACGCTTACTCGCTCGCAGGTCGACGTCTGTGTCCAGAAAGGCTTGTTTGAGCGCTGCCTCAAAGTCGTGCCGCTTGAAAGGTTCATTGGAAGACAGTCTCGAGTGAACAGTGTCGCCGGCGAACCGTGCGACAGTTGATCCTATCGCGTTGAAAGGGCAAGTTGAAAGACGTGTCGAATGTATCGGGCGATGCGTATATTCATTAGACACGAGAGAGGCGAGCCAGACGTCAGCGCGCGTCACGATGCCACTCGCAAGCGGGTGTGAGCGGGTTCGGGCTGCGTACCACCATGACCGTCGTACACAGCAAAGTAGCTTGTCCGTTGCGAGCTCGCTTGGTCGTCGAGTTTGAGCACGTGAGCGTGCGCGTCCTCCATCGCTGCTCGGCGTCGACGATGAACAACCGGGCGAGCGCGCGCGTAGATTGACGTGCGCGCGCGTTGTTTCAGCCATTTTAAGGTGCAGCGAGGGATGCGTGAAAAGTGCGAGAGTGTCAGGTCTCGGCTGTGGCTCGCACGAAGACGCGCGCGATGTGCGTCGACTGACTGAGCCTCCACCCCTGCATCTCGCTGACTGCCCATGCTAGCCTGCGACAGAGACCAAGAGTCAGCGGCTTTTTGGAGAGCGTGCGAGCGCGTGCCTGCGTGCATGCGACGAGGCAGGCAAGGCGCGGGCGGCGGCCGAGTTTTTAAACGCGGCGCACGCGCTGCAGTCGACGAGAGACTGACCGATCGTCCTCGCCATGATCCGTGTGCTTGTCAGTGACAGGCTCGGACAGTGTTTGGCCCATGTCTGGCGGGCTGCGACGACGGGGCAACGAGAAGAGACCGGAGACTCGCTGGCGATCGCGTAATTAACAGCAAGGTAATTGCTCGCGGCTGTAGTCACCCTAGCTTCGAGGCAGAATCTGTAATGTG